GGGGCGGAGTATGCATTTACGTGAGTAAAAGTTGGTCCACGAACTGTACTGTTGTAAATAGCTCATGCTCGAAGGCTTTGGAGCAAATAACAGTGAAATGTCGGCCACATTATCTACCCCGAGAGTTCACAGTGACTTTTATCACAGTTGTTTACATTCCTCCGGACGCTAATGCTAATGAATCACTACAGGAGCTTCATGATATCATCAGCTCGCTGCAGAACAAACACCCCGAGGCTCTTTACGTTGTAGCCGGAGACTTTAACCACGTGAATCTAAAGGACTGTCTCCCAAGCTTTAATCAGCATGTGACGATTCCGACACGTGGAGACAGCACGCTGGACCGTGTTTACACGAACGTAAAAGATGCATACAAAGCCGAACCCCGCCCCCACCTAGGACTGTCAGACCACATCTCAATCTTCCTGGCTCCTGCTTACATGCCCCCGCTGAGACGCTCCAGACCGGTTCAAAAGAAAGTTAAATGTTGGATCCAGGACAGTGGCCCCATACTGAGAGACTGTTTTGATCGAACAGACTGGCAGGTTTTCAGAGAAGCTGCTGAAAATGGAGGTTCGCTTGATCTTGACCAATACACATCCTCAGTACTGGGTTACATTAGTACATGTACTGACACAGTCTCCACTATCAGAAATGTTAAAAGCTACCCAAACAGAAAACCTTGGCTGAATGCAGAGGTGCGTACCCTGCTGGAAGCCAGGAACACTGCCTTCAGGTCTGGAAACTCAGAGGAGCTGAGTAGGACAAGAAAAGAGCTGGTTGCTGGTATTAAGAGGGCCAAGGCCACATATGCAAAGAGGATCGAGGGTCAATTCATCTCACAAGACCCTCGGAGCATGTGGAGGGGCATTAAGTGCATAACAGATTATAAAGGAAGGAGTGAACAATGTCCCAAAGACCCATCTCTGCCTGATGCCCTCAACAAGTTCTATGCACGCTTTGAAGACCCGAACAGACCACCCAGCACCAGACTCACCTCACCACCGGATGAAGAGCATCTCAGCGTGACCTCAGCAGAAGTAAGGAGTACCTTCAGGAGGATTAATCCGCACAAAGCAACTGGCCCAGACAACATCCCCGGAAAAGTGTTGAAGGAATGTGCTGATCAGCTCTGTGAGGTGCTGGCAGACATCTTTAACACCTCACTTACCCTGGAGACAGTTCCCACCTGCCTGAAGACTGCCACCATCATCCCAGTCCCAAAAAGCTCTACAGTGACTGGTCTGAATGACTATCGGCCAGTGGCCCTCACCCCGATAGTCGCTAAATGCTTCGAAAAAACTGGTCATGACTCACATCAAAACAACCATCAACATCAACGAGGACCCTCATCAGTACGCATACCGTGAGAACCGATCAACAGAGGATGCAATCTCCTCTGTGGTCCACACTGCACTCAACCACCTGGAGCAGAAAAACTCTTACGTCCGTATGCTCTTTGTGGACTTCACATCCGCCTTCAACACCATGATCCCCCAAACCCTGATGGACAAACTATCCACACTAGGACTAAGCCCCTCCATCTGCAACTGGGTACTAGACTTTTTAACAAACAGACCACAGTTAGTGAGGATCCACAACCTCTCCTCCTCCACCATAACCCTCAGCACTGGCTCTCCTCAGGGATGTGTGTTGAGCCCCCTCCTGTTTACTCTGCTCACATATGATTGTGCAGCTACCCATCCAGGCTGTCACATTGTAAAGTTTGCAGATGATACAGCGGTGGTGGGATGCATCACAAACAATGATGAGTCCAGCTATAGGCAAGAGGTGGAACACCTGGAGAGCTGGTGCAGAGAGAATAACCTTCACATCAATGTGAAGAAGACAAAGGAGATGATTGTGGACTTCAGAAGGAACAAAAACACCTACACCCCCCTGAACATAAGAGGATCTGCGGTGGAAGTGGTCTCCAGCTACAAGTACTTGGGTGTACACATGAATGACAACCTCAGCTGGAGCAACAACACCACCAGCCTGATCAAGAAAGCTCATCAGAGACTCTACTTCCTCAGACGGCTGAGGCGAGCTGGTCTGGGAAGCTCAGTCCTCACCTCCTTCTACAGGTGTGCAGTGGAGAGCATCCTGTGCTCGAGCATCAATGTGTGGCATGGAGGCTGCACAGCTGCAGAAAGAAAAGCTTTGCAGAGAGTGGTGAAGGCTGCACAGAAATCTGTTGGAATCAGTCTCCCCACCATCACAGACATCTACACCTCCAGATGCAGGAAGAGGGCCACCTGCATCATGAAGGACCCCACCCACCCAGCACACACACTTTTTGCCCCACTCCCCTCAGGAAGGAGGTTAAGGAGCATTAAGTGTAGAACCACTAGACTGAGGAACAGCTTCTACCCTGAGGCTGTTAGACTCATGAATCTCTAACTAGAATAATCACTGTGAAAAACCATAACATGTTGCTGCTGATCTGTTTCATGTTGCTGCTGATCTGTTTCAATGTTGATGTGTTCATGCGTGCACATCTGCTCACAGACTCATGTTCATGTTTGGGCTGATGTTCAATGTTTTTATGTTATGAGTGCTTAGTGTATATTTAGTTGATGTTTTTCTTAGTTCATATCTTAGATGTTATTAGTGTTTTTCTTATACATTTTATTGTTGGATGTAACTGGGACCCTGTGTACATAATTTCGCTCCACCACATGTACCACATGAGGTGCGAATGACAATAAAGAAACTCTGACTCTGACTCTGACTGACTCAAGTATCTCGGGGTTTTGTTCACGAGTGAGGGGATAATGGAGCGTGAGATTGACAGACGGATTGGTGCAGCATCTGCAGTATTGCAGACTCTGTTGGTCCACTGAGGTGAAGAGAGAGTTGAGCTGTAAGGCAAAGCTCTCTGTTTACTGGTCGGTCTACATTCCTACCCTCACCTATAGTCAAGAACTCTGGGTAGTGACCGAAAGAATGAGATCGCGCGGATACATGTGGTTGAAATGAGTTTCCTCTGCAGGGTAGCTGGACTCTTCCTTAGAGACAGAGTGAAAAGTTCAGTTATCAGGAGAGACTCGTAGTAGAACTGCTGCTCCTCCACATTGAGGGGAGCCACTTGAGATAGTTCGAGCCTCTGGTAAGGATGCTCCCTGGGCGCCTCCCTAGGGAGGTGTTTTGGGCATGACCGACTAGGAGGAGATCCCGGGGAAGACCCAGGACACGCTGGAGAGACTATGTCTCTTGGTTGGCCTGGTAACACCTTAGAATCCTCCCAGAAGAGCTGGAAGAGGTGGCTACAGAAAGAGATGTCTGGGCCTCCCTGCTCAAGCTGCTGCCCCCAATACCTGACTTCGAAACAAGCGGGAAATGATGGATGGATGGATGGATGGATGGCTTCCTAATAGTTGGGTATTTTGGTTGATTCACATCTTTATTTTAAGCCTCATGTCGAAAACTTTGTAAAGAAATTGAAAGTAAAACTTTTTTTTTTTTGTTTTTTTAAGAAACAGATCCTGTGTAACTCCGAATGCTAGGAAGCACCTTGTAGCTGCTACTTTTCCTCCTTCCATTGACTATGGTGACATTATTTATATGAATGTACTGCAAGCACCTTGCAGATGTTGGATGCTGTCTACCACGGTTAACTAAGGGTGCATTCACACCAGCCCTGTTTAGTCCGCTTTAATCGAACTCTAGCTCGTTTTCCTTGAAAGTCCGGTTCGTTTATGGAGGTGTGAACGCACCATCAAACTCTGTCACGGAACAAAAAGGCGAACTCTGGCCCGGGCTAAAACCGAGGTCTCGGTCCGGTAGAAACGAACTCCAGTGTGAATGTAAACAGACCGGACCCCGCTCCACAGGGTAAACAAACACGCATTTCTCTGACCTTATATGGAGCCGTCAGCCGCCTTGTGTGAAAAACAATATTCTCCATGGTCTTCTGTCTCATCTTCTGCTCATGCTGAGTCCATTGTTGAAAAATGACTAAATATAACTCCTAAAACTGCTAAAACTTGATGCCACTTCGTTTTTATTTTTATTTACAGAAGAAGAAGAAGACGTGTCTTCAGAGGTTTTTGTGTTGTTTCTTTCAGTAGTTCTTGGTGCAGCACCCCCACAGGCGAGTGGGGGAATAGGTTGGTTCAACAGGTTGACTCGACTGCACAGTGCAGTGTGAATGCAAACGCACCAGCTCACATGTAACAAAAGCTCATGAATATTGGTCCCAAACCGAGTCTACTGGACTATCTGGTGTGAAAACGACCTAAGATACATAACTGGCTGTAACGACCATACCCATCACTGCCCTCTGTATACATTGGTCATTGTTAACTTCATGCAGACACACACTGGTATATTTTCATCTTTAAATCACTTCTCGGTTTGTTGCCTTCATACATCTCCTACATGTCACTCCGTGAATACAGCTACAGCGTGCGCTCTCAGGACTTGCAGTGTTCCCTCAGTGAGGACTGAACTAGACAAAAGGACCTTCTCCTACTCCGCTCCTGTTTCCTGGAATATCTTGTAAAAAGACCTGAAGCTCTCGACCTTTGACCTCTCTAAGGGCTTTTAAACAACTGTTAAGTTCATGGCAAAAACCAACGCAAACATGTTCCTGTTTTTAGTATTTTACATCGCTTTACAATGTAGCTGTTTTTGTATTTTTTATTTAATTTCTTCTATTTACTTTTAATTTTATATGCTTTTATATATGACTGTATTATTGTGTGTACCTCATATTTGTTTAAATCAGGTCTCTCTTGTAAATGAGTCCTCGTGGATCAATGAGACTAACCTGTATAAATAAAGGTGTAAGGAATGGTTCAGAACATCTGGAACAACAGCAGGCTGGATTGGGCTGAGTTCTGTAGATATTGGAGTCAGCACCTTCAGACTGGTTGTTGTGGTCTCTGATGTTCTGCAGAAGTTGGTGGATCAGCTGATCTCAGATCTTTGTTGTGATGAAGAACGTGATAAACAATAACACTCATGTGACTCTGACGTGGTTGTATCTCCCTCAGCTTTGATGACCATGACCCCGCAGTGATCCATGAAAATGCTGCGCAGGTCGAAGCTCTAGTTCCGATTCGTCTGGACATGGAGATCGACGGACAGAAGCTGCGGGACGCCTTCACGTGGAACATGAACGGTGAAAATAACTCTCTGTGGTTCCCAGCAGCTGGAACAACCTCTGGTTCCTCCTCTCTAAGCATCCTGTGTTCTCCTCAGAGAAGCTGATGACCCCGGAGATGTTTGCAGAGATTCTGTGTGACGATTTGGACCTGAACCCCCTGGCATTTGTCCCGGCTGTGGCCTCAGCCATCCGTCAGCAGATCGAGTCGTACCCCACGGACAGCATCCTGGAGGAGCAGGCAGACCAGAGAGTCATCATCAAGGTGGGTCCTTCAGAACTGAACCAGCTGAAGTCTTTCCAGTCCTGCAGTCAACTCAGAACCTCACCTGCTGATGTTTGATCTGCAGCTGAACATCCACGTGGGGAACATCTCCCTGGTGGACCAGTTTGAGTGGGACATGTCTGAGAAGGAGAACTCCCCAGAGTCGTTCGCTCTGAAGCTCTGCTCGGAGCTCGGTCTGGGCGGGGAGTTTGTCACCACCATCGCCTACAGCATCCGTGGTCAGCTGAGCTGGCACCAGAGGACCTATGCCTTCAGGTATTGACCTGCTCTGGTTCTGGACCTGAAGACCTAACCCAGAACAAAACCTTCAGGCTGCGGGTTTTCTCTTTAAGCAGGTCCAGACTGGAACTGTTTTCATTTTCTGTGATGTTTCCAGTGAGAACCCTCTCCCCACGGTTGAGATTGCCATCAGGAACACAGGAGATGCAGACCAGTGGTGCCCCCTGCTGGAGACCCTCACAGACGCTGAGATGGAGAAGAAGATCCGAGACCAGGACCGGAACACAAGGTGAGAAGTTCAAACAAACAGTTCTGGTCCTCTGGATAAGGACATAAAACCCTGAGCTGGCGATAACACTCTAATCTAGTCTTAGTTTAATTCTGATCCAGTTCAAAGTTTTATCTCCCTAACTCTTTACAGTTGAACAAGCTTATCAGATTTATTAAATTAATCAAATCTCTTGTAGGAGAATGAGACGACTGGCCAACACTGCCCCCTCCTGGTAGGAGACGACACATCCTGCAGTCATCTACCCACTTGGACACCTCCCAGATCGAGGAGGTCAAACCCATTCCTCTGTACACTTTCATCATGATGGACTCAACCTGTTCAGCTCTCATGCAGTAGCTCACCTGCAGACACCTGATATATGTTACAAAACACCTGTCAGGTCCGCTGCCAGGTCAGTTTCCAACCACCTGTCAGGTCCAAACAAACATCTGTCAGATCAAAAAAACTGGTACAAATTTTAATCTGACCAATAAAATAATGAGGAAGGTGAAAATAACCCTAACCCTGTGTCTGTCTCTATGGTAAAAGGCAGTGTAAACACACCTATCTCCATGGTAACAGACAGGATAAACCCACCTTTCGCTTTCTCCATTGGTAACAGGCGGTGTAAACCCACCTGTGTCTGTCTCCATGGTAACAGGCAGTGTAACCCCACCAGTCTCTGTTTCCATGGTAACAGACAGTGTAAACCCACCTTTATCTGTCTCCATAGTAACAAGCAGTGTAAACCCGCCTGCCTGTCTCCATGGTAACAGGCAGTGTAAACCCACTTTCTCTGTTTCCATGGTAACAGACAGTGTAAACCCACCTGTCTCTGTCTCCTTGGAAACAGGAGGAATAAACCCGCTTGTCTCTGTCTTTATGGTAACAATGTAACCCACCTGTCTCTGTCTTCATTGAAACAGGCATTGTAAACCCACCTGTCTGTCTCCATGGTAACAAACAGTGTAAACCCACCTGTTTGTCTTCATGGTAGCAGGCAGTGTAAACCTACCTGCCTCTGTCTTCGTGGTAACAGGCAGTTTAAAGCCGCCTGTCTCTGTCTCCATGGTAACAGGCAGTGTAAACCCACCTGCCTCTGTCTCCATGGTAACAGGCAGTGCAAAGCCGCCTCTCTGTCTCCATGGTAACAAACAGTGTAAACCCACCTATCTCTGTCTCCATGGTAGCAAACAGTTTAAACCTACCTGTGTCTGTCTCCATGGTAAGAGACAGTGTAAACCCACCTGTTTGTCACTATCGTAACAAACGGTGTAAACTCGCATGTCTCTGTCTCCATGGAAACAGGCAGTGTAAACCCGCCTGTCTCTGTCTCCATGGGAACAGGTAGTGTAAACCCACCTGTCTCTGTCTCCATGGAAACAGGCAGTGTAAACCCACCTGTCTGTCTGCATGGTAAGACGCAGTGTAAACCCACCTGTTTGTCACCATCGTAACAGACGGTGTAAACTCACATGTCTCTTTCTCCATGGAAACAGGCAGTGTAAACCCACCTGTCTGTCTCCATAGAAACAGGCAGTGTAAACTCACCTGTCTCTGTTTCCATGGTAACAGACAGTGTAAACCCACCTGTTTGTCACCATCGTAACAAACGGTGTAAACTCACATATCTCTTTCTCCATGGAAACAGGCAGTGTAAACCCACCTGTCTCTGTCTCCATGGGAACAGGTAGTTTAAAACCACCTGTCTCTTTTTCCTTGGAAACAGGCAGTGTAAACTCACCTGTCTTTTTCTCTATGGTAACATACAGTGTAAGCCCACCTTTCTCTGTCTCCATAGTAGCAGGCAGTGTAAACCCACCTGTCTGTTTCCATGGTAACAAACATATAAACCCACCTGTCTCTGTCTCTATGGTAACAGACGGTGTGGTTCTGATCTGTGACGGTAGCACTCTTGTTCTGGTCTCAGTTCCTGGTTCTGGGCCAGTTCAGGTACAGTTGTGGATGTGCATGTTGTTTTCTGAGCGTGAGCAGATTGTCAAGAGTTATTCTGTTTTCATCTCTTTGTTTCAGCTGCTGGTCCAGTTATTAGAACGCAAACAATCGAACCAGAATCACAAGGTGTTAGTGTGACGACCTTCATAATTTTTTAATTTTTTAAAAGTGTTTAAACCTTTACAGAAGACTGTTTTTTTTATAAAACAATAAAACATGTTGGGATGACTGACTCGTTAAGTTGTTAACAACAGAAAATAAACACAACTGTATTTATTTATTAAATCTCCATGAATTACATATTTCAACTCCCATTTATTTGTTGACAGAACATGTTTGTGTGTTTTTAAACTTTGTTATTCTGTATCTTAAAGGCAGCAGAGTGTTTGAAGGAAGAGAGTTTGAAATGTTTTAACTTTTATCACTTTTTCTGAATATTTTGGAGCATTTTTTCATCACTTTTTGAGGAACAAACGGTCTCATGATATGTCATAACCACAAGCTTTAAACATATTATATTAGTTATAAAGTCATAACTTTAAAACTAATAAATATGATCTAAATTCACAATAACAGTCACTAATATTTCTTTAAAGTGGTTTAAAACTAATCGGTTTAGTTTTGTTTTATGGAAAAAATTATTGAATTTGTTCCTTCTGTTGGCGTTGTGTTTTACCTCGTGTTTATTTATGGTTTTGTAATATTTTCACATGACATCTTATCTCATAAGCTCTCAGAAATTAGTTTCTCAGTTCACACCATTGGTTGGTTCTCTAACTTTCTCTCAGACCAGAGGCAATGTGTTCAACATAATTATACTTCTTCCAGTTATCTAACTGTTAAAAATGGTGTACCACAAGGCTCAGTCTTAGGACCCACCCTCCTCACAATCTTTATAAGTAATGTAGGTCAGATCATCCCCGATGCGTCCTTACATTTCTACGCTGATGATACAGTTGTTTATCGTCGAGATAAAATATTTGCTACGGTTTTCCAGCTTTTGTAATCTGCTTTTGACATTATCCAGTCAGATTTGTTCCATCTCAAACTTGTTCTAAACGCCAATAAAACCAAAGGGATGTTGTCTTCAAACAGGAAGTTGGTCCTAGCAGTTCTTCCTTCTATTTTATCTTCAAATTGTGTTCCTATTGAGTTTGTTGATTCCTACAAATATTTAGGTATCTTGGTCGATTTGCATCTCTCTTTTAAGCTCCGCAGAGAAAACTTGGTAAAGAAACTGAAAGTAAAACTGGATTTTTTATTTTTCAGAAATATATTCTGTCTAACTCTTAAGTGCTAGGAACCCAATGGTGACATTCATTACATGAATGCCCCTACAGCACCTTGCAGATGTTGGACGCGATCTAACACGGTGCGCTAAAATTCATAAGTGGCTGTAACTACCATACCTACCATTGCACCCAGTATTCACTGGTTAACTGGTCATCATTAATTTCACACAGACTCTTTCACTGGTACATTTCATCTTTTAATCACTCCTTGGTCTGTTGCCTTCATATATCTCCTCTTACGTGAGTGCAGCTACAGCGTGCGCTCTCAGGACATTATAACCTGCAATGTTCCCTCAGTGAGGACTGAACTAGACTAAAGGACCTTCTCCTACTCCGCTCCCGTTTCCTGGAATATCTTGTAAAGAGATCTGAAGCTCTCAACCTTTGACCTCTCTAAGTGGCTTCAAACATCTGTTAAGTTCATAGTAAAAACCATCGCAGACATGTTCCAGTTTTTAGTGTTTTACATCGCTTTACAATGTAGCTGAGTTTTTTTATATATATAATTTTCTTCCATTTATTTTTTCAGTTTATATACTTTCTTTTATGACTGTCTACTGTTGTCATCACTGGTAAAATCAGGTCTCTCTTGTAAACGAGCCCTCGAGACAAATGAGACCAACCTGTGTAAATAAAGGTTGAATGAATGAAAAATGTTCGGGTCATGCGCACTCTGGTCCTTCCTGAAGTCTCGCGGTTTGTCTCGAAATCTCACGAGAAGCAGCGAGACTCTAGAAGAAGCCGGTTTGTCGGACCGGACGGTTAACGGAACCAAATTCTATTTCAAAGCCGCCTGAAGTGGATTCGGTTTCAGGTTCTGTGTGTTTTTTTCTACAGTCCGAACCACACGGAGCTTTTTTTGACCCAGTTCGGTTCTGGTATTCTGGTATCGGGTTCTCACGGAGCCTGCCTGTTTATTTTAAACCATCGGAATCGTTTCACCGAGCTGAGGCTGAAAACTGGACCCGAGCCTCCCGGTTCGATTCTGAGGACCGTCTCCGGGCCAGGTGACTTCACGGTGGAAGGTTTTGGAAGCCAGCCGCCGGTTCTTGTTGGTTCGGACATCAGGGACGGGCATGTGACGTGGTGATGTGGTGTCGGTTCGGTCGGTGTAAAGGGAGTCTGAAGTGACCGAACCTCCCGGAACATGATCCAGCCACAGGGTTCGGTTCTTCCCCGCGTGCTGGGCGGGGTGTTCTGCCAGTGCCGGTCCACAGAGACTCCCTCGGGACCCGGACACCCTCAGTCCGGGGACCACGAAGATCCATCTTGTGATGGCGGTCCGGACCAGGAGCACCGGCTGAAGGTTCTGTTCCAGGTCCTGGACGTGAACGGGGACGGAGGGATCTGTGTGAACGACCTGACCATCGGACTGAAGAAACTGGGGGTCCACAGAACCGAACACGAGCTCAGGGTGAGTGGACCGGGTCAGAACCAGACCTGAAACTGGCCCAAAACACGAAGAGTTTCTGCTCTATCAAACGGTCCGGACCGGGTTTCAGATAGATGTCCAGTTCGGTTCTGACTCGGTTCGGGTTCTACTAGATCAGTCACGTGGTTGTGATTTAAATAACAGTTTGTTTAACTTGATGCTCAATAATCCAGGTGGAAAAATCTAAACAACAGTTCAATCTGGACATTCAACAACCAAAACAGAAGATCATCATCTGCAGGTCAGAGGTCACATCAGGGATGAAGATGTTCACATCAGGGATGAAGATGTTCACA